TTCGGAAATCATGACTCTGTGTCAGTTGTTGTTATTTGGTTAGACACCATGTGGGCGCGCGCTTTGTTCTGGGCCAGAGTCGAGCCGAGGCAGCCTGTCACCCGAGAACAAGTTGAAGTGTCTCTGGCATGTTCGCTCGGGCGGGCATCCGCCTGAAGATGCAAGGGCCCTGAGCGATGAGGGCGCGCAGTGTTTATACGTAGACATGACCACCTGGGCGAAGCGTTATTTGACGAAGGCATGGGAAAATATGCATGCACCACTTGTATATTCATTGCCTTATAAAAGTTGGGTCCATTATCTGCGTCACTTTATTGGGGCTCGCTATGCGGATTTTGTGGCGCCAGGTGAAGTCCCTCATGCCCGAATCGCCGCTGGCCCCATGAATCGGCCCGGCGCGACCGGCGCCGATGGCGATGCAGCCGCCGGGCAGGAAGAAGAGGAAGAGGACTCGTGCCCCGCGGCTTCGCTGTCAGAGACAGACAATCGACTGAGGACCCCTATAAAGGGGATGGGTCCTATCTGTTATTTACGGAAGAAGCGGACTATGGGATTAATCCAGGGGGCGCGAATTTATTTTCGCGCCAGGCACTTCCGCCATCGCCTGCCCATAAACAGCTTCGCCCAGGGGGGGCAGGGCGCCGCTGGACGGGCGAGGGATATTCATGCGACGCTTTCTATTTCTGGTGAGAGACTATATTTGGAGCACCAAGAACGCGATGATATACTCCGCGAAACGTCTGGCGATATTCGAGAACAAATTTTTGAAGCTCCTAGAGCTGGCCCTGCGCCGCCCCGCAACGCAGCTATCCGCGGGCGCACCTATAGCACGATCAGAGGAAATTCTGAGATGGCACGCGACCCTCTGTTCACGTTGCTCGGGGAGATTAACGCGGGCGGGTTTAGCCGAGCCGCTCGGTTTTTCACAGCAGAATGCGATTCGGATGGCCGGCCAGATCATCTCCCCCAGGAGGTCCGTCCAGCTCTTTCTCCTTTCATTTCGCCTTCGGAAGCTCTCGGCTTAGCCGACGAAGCAGAGGGAGATATAGAGAGACAGGGCACCCAATCCGTAGTGTCGGGCAGCTCTGACTTCTGGCGAATACGCAGTCACCGCAATCATCCGATCGCCCACAATATTGGATAACGTGCATTGTACATTGCCAGACATTGCGCGGAATGCGCTCGATCATCGGGAGGGCGGGTATAATTCGGTGACCTCATCCGAAAGATAGAGAGCGATGGAGCCACGCGCGCCACGACTGATCGCCGGGTGTAATTTAATTTTCGTGGAATCAAGGCCGACGACATCATGCTTCTCGAGCGCGCATCACTGATGACGCATTGGAATCAGTTTCTTAAACCAGATGCCTCACACGACGCAGTCGTTGATGCGGAACATGGGGGCCGTCATAGTTTCCATAGGTCGAGGCGATCGCGCTTGCAGACCATTTCCGGTGTTTTATCGCGCTTGTGATGGGCACTCTTGCTGTGCCCCTAATATAAAACGCACGCATGCTCCGCGCGAGTTGGGGATGGCGCAGTGCCGCGGGGACTTATTGCGCATTCCAAGTACGGAGGCAATTAAGAAGTCAATGGTAGATTCGGGAATAATCCGGCGCCCCAACAAATTTAGTGGATTGCGCGGGGAACCCGATTGCGGACCCCTTAGATTGATAGCTGGGAGGCGTGATTTCCCCGCAGAAACTAACTTGCACATCCCCCGCTGGCTTCGCCAGAGGAAGGATGGAGAGGCCCCGCCTGCCAGAAGTTTTCAGAGCCCGGGCTCTGCCCCTACAGGACGGGGACCTCCGACCCACGGAACTTGGCCTAGTGCACTTACTCCATCTCTCTGGGAAGTTACGACGCCGCATGATGTAAATTGGCAGTGCGTTGTTGTCTTTAACGGGCGTGCTGTGACCCGTCTACGAAATCGAATTCGTCGCGACGGCGCTCTTGTGACGACCTAGGAAGCGCGTTATAATGATATACCTTGCTTTGCGCAGTTGGCACCGATCGAGGGTACTGAACAACATAGCCGGCATAGTGTTTTGACGTTGTCTTTTCCCTAGAGTGGACTGCAGATGAGGTGGTTGTCTCACGGAGGTCAATCAGAACGTGGGCATTTTCGGATGACAAAATAAAGTTGCCTGTCAGGGGCGGACATCCGAGGAAGAGCTTATTCGCATTATGCAGAAGCCGTTGACCGATGATGGAATATTCATATGTCAACTTGCCACTCTGTGAGGGCTGGTTTTTGGCTATTGTCTTCATTGCCTGACTCAAGTTCAATATAAACATATAAACACAATGTCCGGAAGGACAATCCTGCTGCGCCTGGTATAGATACACTGGTTGATGCATGGACGAGCTCGCGGCTGTGTCCTCATTTGCGTGATCCCCCAAGTGGGGGCGGCGGCTCAACAATGATGTCCAAAAGGCTGGGCGCAATGAATAAAAGTTCTGCCGATACGTTAGACAACTTGAACAAAGCAGAACAACGCCAGCGGAAATTGGCTGTTAACCCTGACGGAGTTCGTCTCAGGCTAGCTGCGGCAGGACAAACGTTCTCAAACGGACAGCCTGGGACTGTCCCAACCTGGGGCCCCGACAGCGCCACGGCTCAGCCGCCGGCGCGGCATGAACCATATTTTCAGTACTTTGAGCCGCTGAAACTTTGGTTCATGAGTTGGTTGAAGAACAAGGCTCGAAATAACAATGAAGAGCCTCCGACCGCTGCGCAGTGGTGGCTATTGATATGGACTCCAGACGTAGATCAACGTGTTCGCCCATTCCGATGCTCTGCTCTTGCCAGTTTCGATGGGACCCATGCTGATGCAGCCCAACCAAGCCATGCAGAGGGCTGGGACCAATGGGAAGAACACAAGGCGATGATAGGTGTTACCATCCCCTCGATTCTAGTGCTAACGGACGGCTTGAGACGAGCTAGCGACGTTTCTACGTCAAATACAGAAGGTGACATCGATTTCCGGGTGAGCGCTGGACTTCATCAACGGCCCAGCAGTTCCGATGAAGTGATAGCATCCCGCGAAGAACGCGCGGGGAGCTCGAAGGGCGTCGGGGACGTCAACATGGCCCGGCGTCACAAAATGAAGACTCCGAGAAAAGCGTTGCCTTTTCTGGCTCGATGTCGTATCCATATCGGGTAGCATGTCCTATGCGAATCGTAATTTAGATGAGTATGACCGGACGGATATGGTTCAAGTTGCGGCACAATTCATTTCTATAGGTTAGACATGATTGGCGGTTTCGACGCCATTGGATACCGACGTGATTCACGAAGTGCCGCGCGAGTTGTCTGCACATGTAAACAGAATATGGGCTGAACTTATTCACAGAATCCCCACTCGTGGACGATGGAGATGAGGACTCTTGGCAGTACGAGAGTCGTGGCAGAGGGACTTCATGTTTCATTTCCAGGATATGAAGTACAACGAACCTTGACTGATACGGACATCGCCCGTGAAGCACTGTGTGATGCATATGCTTTGGACTGCCAGATCAGGTCCGCGATTGAATCGTTCGACCTGGTTCGTGAGTGGACCAATGGCTTAGGAAATAAAGTTTCGGGCGCTGTCAGACGAAATTGTACAAGTATTCAGAATGCTCTCGTTGTCATGCAAACGTCGACCCATATTCCATTCAATGCTGGGATTCGCGCGTCAAGCAGCCGTTTTTCCCCCGACAGCGCTATTGGTCTCACAATTGTGCACAAGAACCAAAGGAGGAGAGCCTGCCGCAGTTTCCGCGGCCTCAACAGCGGAAGCCAAAGCCCCGAGCGGCTCTGCCGGCTCGGGGTTGAGAGTCCAGCGGAATCTTCGAGCACCTTCGAGACCGAGGGCGAATTGGACGGAGAGGCATGTCTCTAGGCCTGCCCCTTATAATCCTGCGCCCACCGGCTCAGCCGCGCTGGGCAGCGATACCAGCTGGATTGATTCAGATCGGGTCCGCGCATGGGCTGATGAACCCATTGCCGAAGTAGGCGGCCGCGCGAGCCATGGCGACTAGGGCCCGACGCAGAACCTCGCAGACAAGAACGACAATGGGGAAATTTAATGATATTTCGTCTACGTGACTCGCCATCAGCAAGTCACGCAGAGCGCCGAAACTTGGCATTGGTTCAGTGTGAATGACTACAACGACAGATTCAGTGGCGATCGCGCCTTGCCAGAGCCGCCGGCACCACCCACGCCGAAGGCGAGGGCAAGGGCAAGGGCAATTTCAAGTCACGCATCTGGATTTCAAGCAGAAGAAGAAAAGACAGATACGATGATCGTCAACGAAGCCAGTGCCAGTGAAACTGGCGCACCAGTAACGAATTTGATTGTTCTCGAAGCTAGAGAGATGATTTGCAGAGGTAAATATGTACAATATTGACATGTACGACTTCGCCGATACTGGTCTGACGTTCAACGAGATGCGGGTGCATCGGATGTGAATGAGCCTTGTGGTCTGCGCTGAGATTGGATATTCGCTCAGGCGGGTGTCGTCGGGTCGTTTCGATGTTCTGCCCCCTGGCAACCACAGTCGAGCGGTAAAACTGTTTGTGGGGTTCGCTCCTGTGGCTGCGCATCTGTACAGGCCAGGTGGGTGGGGGATCGGGGCGACTCTACACACCCCGCCGCGGGGGGAGTCTACGCACCCCCTTCGCACCACCATCCTGCTGCCCATCTTGCTCTCTCGCCTTGCGCTGCTTGTCTCACGTCGCTTTGCTTGCGACTTGTATGTTACTTTATAGCTGTTTGGCTCTAGGGCAACAGAAAAGGAGCGAGCCTGCGGCGCGCGCGCGCGTGCGTCGGCCGGCGGGCCGGCCTCCTCCCTTCAGGGTTACCCTATTGCTAGCTTAGCGGCATTCTCCTTCCTCCCCATGTCATCGGCGAAACCCACTGATCATGAGACATCAACGGCACATGTTGCAGGCAAAAAACTGAAGGAGGAGAAGAAGGAGGAGGACGAGGACGAGGACGAGGACGGGGAGAAGAGGGGGAGAACAATTACAACGCGCGAGAGCCAGGCGCGCGCGTGAGGTTGGACGGTTACTGACGGTACGTGGTGGATGGAGTCCGCCTCAACTTCACACTTCACTTCTCTGTGCTGGCGAGCGCGCTTCTCTGTGCGCGACCGTTTCTGCCATGCATCGTAGCTTTAGTTCGCCCCCGCTTATACAGATGAAATGAGGCATTGCGTACATCGCGTGACGTACGTTCGCCTATGCATGCGAAGGTGTGCGCGGCGAGAGGATGTCGCCGTGCTTCCCTTGCGCCCCCCATCAGACCCGACGGTGCGCGCGGGCTTCACTCAAGCTGACTGCCGGCGCCGTCTGCTGGTTCGGGGGCGCTTGATTCGGGCAAGGCGCAAGTACACAGAACCATGAGCCACGCGGCCATGTGGAACCATTGAGCTGTGAGTGGCGGAGATGCGCCCAGGCTTTTCCGCGCTTCTCTCACGTTGAGAATGCGGCACTTCAAAACTTGCTATCGTGTCATCGACGTGATGCGACAGGCCGAATGATTGGCCTCGTCCCAGCACCCTCCCGTGCACTGCGGCACATTTTTTCGCAGACCAGAATGACAGGGGACACGTAAGGCTCGACTGCGCCAGGACTCTGGTTTGCCGACGTTTTTCGACGAGCATGTTCTGGATTTTGACTGTCCAGTTTTCGTGGGACGTTTACAGCGGGAGGTCGCGTCAAATTCCACGCTGGGCCCCGTCATTCCCATGATGGCCTCGACCGGCCAGCCCGAGTCCCCCGAACACCAGTCTTATGTTTCCCCGCAATGTAGGGCGTTCGCGCTGATATTGGCAAGTTTTTCTCTCCTCCTCCTTCCCCTCCTCCTCCTCCTCCTCGTCCTCCTCCTTTTCCTCCTCGTTATCTTCCACCTGCCCCTCCCGACTTCGCCCCCCTCCTTGGCTTCTCCGTCGCCCTTGGGCTTGCGACGCGCTCGCATTCACAGGAACAGATTGTGAGGATGTCTGAGCCGATGTGCTCGCTTCAGCACCCCAATGGGAGAGCCGCCAGGAGTGGTTTCAGCCCCCCGTTCGCGGCCAGGTCGTGGGTAAGTCTCAGGCGGTTTGCTTGTTTGGTGGCTTGGATTTCGCCGCTTCCATAGCAGACTGTGACGATGTCTCAGGTGAAGCGCAGGCTTCGGCACCCCAAGGGGGACCCGCCAGGGTTGGTTTGCCTTCCGCCCCCTTCTCCTATTTGCGGCCAGATTGTGAAGATGTGTCAGGCGGTTTGCCTGGTTGGTGGCTTGGACTTGGACGTCGCTGCAATCAGAGAAGATTGTGAGAATGTCTCAGGCGAGGAGCTGGCTTCGTCACCCCCAGGGAGCCGCCAGGGGTGGTTTCCCCCCCACGCTCGCGGCCAGATTGTGGGTATGTGTGAGGCGGTTTGCTTGTTTGGTGGCTTGGACGTCGCTGCTGTTAGACCAGATTGTGAGAATGTCTCAGGCTAGACGTTGGCTCCAGCACCCAAAGGGGGAGCCGCCAGGAGTGAGAGCCCCAAGACGGCCCGAGAGGAGACGTGGCTTATCGCTGATGCGCGCAGCTACTAAAGATGGGGCCGAACGAGCTGTGGGAGGGATTGGTGGTGTGAGGGGGAGGAGCCGAGCTGAAGCATCTGCCGCGTGGCATGCTTGCTGCTAGAGTCAGGTGCGCGACGCACTGCTGGATTCAGTTCTGACCATGGTGATCTACGCAATGTGTTTGGCCCCCCGACGAGTGTGTGCTTGTACGCCAGCGACGTGGGTGGTCGTAACACGCTATGTTGCGTTTCATATGTCCCACGCTCATGGTCAGCTCCTCCCCGTCCTGCCGAAGCTTCCCCCCGCGGTCGCCCGTAAGACTGTGCAGCATAAGCTTCATGACCACCCTTGGCGTTCGTGCTCGAGGCTTGGGACATGCCTCCGGTGACGGAGTATTTTTGCGGATGCGCCGGTGCGACGGACACCAGCAATCTCAGACATTTGCTTTCGGTCCGAGGACGAGGTAAGTGATCGAACCTAGGATACGCCTGGGTATCCCAAGTCATGGACATGATTGGGTTTCTAACCTTGTCATCATCATCCTCCTCACGCCAAGCCGCAGTGCAGAGTTCGACCTCAGTTTAGGTGACGTCTGCTGTTCTTCGCACAGCGCTATGATCTTAGGGGTGCGACTCTCGGCACGGACAAGACCTTTGAAAGGGCGCATCGTTGTGCGTTGTCACCGTCAGTTAGTTGCCCAGGCTGCGTTTAACAATGTTGTTTGAAGCCATGGTGATGCACCGTACTGAAGTCCCAGCGCCGTCTTAGCCCCGTCTGGGCGTGGGGAAGTGCGGGAGGGCAGGGGTGAAGACTGCCCCAGAGGGCCCCTCCACGGCCTGAGGGGCCCCATACAAGGACCCCAGCCATCCCCAGGTAAGTCCCAAGAGGAGCCACACAGATTCCGACCTTGCAGCCAACGTTCAAGACGCTTCCAAGAGGCCCCCTAGGGGGCTCCACTTTGCCCCCAAGAGGGCCCCACGACGGCTCAAAATATGCCCTAGACGGCCCAAGAGGCGTCTCAAAAGAGCTCCAATGCGGTCCTAGATGCCACCCCTACGATGCCCCAGACTTGTGTCAAACTCTCTCCTCCCGTGTCCTGTCGGTGTTTCGCATCCCTTGCCCCTTCAGCATCGCAACCTGCTGCCACGAGCTGGCGCGTGGCTTTGCTGAACGAGCTGTGAGGGCAGAGTGGGACTCACCCGCATATGGCAGTGGGGGCCCTCTCCGTTCGCATGGCAGGCATGACTGCTCCATTTGGGTCTCCGTGATGCGTGCCGCGTACGGTAGGTTCGCGTCGTGTCGACCGGCGGCGACCCCGCCGCCGACGTTCAATGTTGAACGCCGACGGCGGCCCAGAATCGGTCGATGTTGAACGATTGGACGTTGCGGAGACGGCCGATCGTTCAAGGTTGAACGATCCAGCGCGGTGTCAGGAACCAACGCCAGGGTCGACACGGCACGAACCTGCCGTAGCCGCGTAGCCGTGCTGCACGACTGGAGCGCCGCGTCCACGCGGGCGAAGTCCGCGCGGCGCTCGGACCAGGGCGACATTCTGCCCGCTCGCGCGTGGCCCGCTTCCGACGACTTTGGGGGGGGAACAAAACTCAAGGGCTCCCCCGAGGGCGCGAAGTTATTCGCGCTTCGCGCTTCGCGGTCCTCGATCCTCCTCCCCTCCTCCTCGTCCTCCTCTTCTCCCTTCTGGGGGGGCGGCGCGAGAGCGCGAAGTTATTCGCGCTTCGCGCTTCGCGCAGCGCGAAGCGCGAAGTTGGGAGCCCTAGATTTGGTGGGCGAACAAAACTGCTCCGCGCCCATGGTGGAGCGCCGCTTTACCGCGTCGAGCCCATGCTCGTCGCTTGCGCCGGCGTGACATTTTCCCCGCTCGCGCGCGCACCGCTTCCGACGAATTTGGTGGGCGGAAGGATTGCGTCGCGCTCGTGCGGGAGCGCCGTTTTCGGGCGAAACCCGCGCGGCGCTTGGATGAGAGTGGCATTTCGCCACTTCGCGCGCGTCCCCGCGGCCGACGAATTGGCGAGCGAAAATTTTACGCCTCACCGGAGCGGGAGCGCCACTGCAAACTGAAATTGTGTGCGGCGTTGGGCGAGATTTACATGTTGCCGGTTCGCGCGGCCCCGCGGCTGAAGAATGGGCGAGCGAGAGTTGTGCGCCGCGCCCATCGGCTGGATTAGATTGGCATCGGCCAGCTAGGTGGCATAGTGGAGCGTTGCTTGTATATAAAGACGAGAGGGGGATTGCATGGAGGAGGAGGAGGCTGGAGGAAGGGGTGGATTGATTGTTGCTCCCTTCTTTGCACGAGTGAATTTGGGACATCGGGCAGCATACCCGGCCAGTCGGGCACTTCATTGCAGAGCCATCTCGGGTTTCTCTCCCGGGGTGCGAAGCGCCCAGTGCGGGCACAACAGCCCGATGGACCCCTGGCCAGGCCCCGCGCTGGAAGAATGCGGCGCGGGCTCGGCGCTCGCGACACCTTCGCGGACACCTTCGCGGCACAGCATTGAGTGGAGCTCTGGCGTGCATGCGGGGCCGTGTAGGCAATACTTTTGCAGGAGTACGTGGGCTCGCGTCTTCGGGTTGAGGAGGAGGAGGAGGAGGAGGAGGAGGAAGAGGAGGAGGAGGAGGAGGAGGAGGAATAGAGGAGCGAGGAGGAGGAGGAATAGAGGAGCGAGGAGGAGGAGCGAGGAGGAGTTGGAGGAGGAGGAAGAGGAGCAGGGAGGAGGAGCGAGGAGGAGGAGCGAAGAGGAGGAGGAGAAGGAGGGGGAGGAGGAGGAGGAGGAGGAGGAGGAGAAGGAGGAGGAGGAGGAGGAGTAGGAGGAGGAGCCGGAGGAGTCCCCGGGGCAGCGACCAGGGAGCACTGCACCCTGCAGCTTCTCCCGGCTGGTGGCGCCTGCGCAACGCCCTCCCACTTTGGGCCCGCTGGCGATTGGTCAGGTCCGGGCGGCGAGGGCGCCCTGCTCGACTCCCTGCCGCGCCGCGGCGTTTGCCGCGGCAGCTCGCGCGGAGGAGCCCGTGCGGGTGTGAGTCTGGCTGCGTCGTGCGCCAGCGCGTGCGCCGGGGGATCCGTGGGCTTCCCATTCGGCGTCGGGGCAGGTGAGGGCAGAGTTCGGGCGTTTTCGACGGTTCGTCAGCCTCGGGATGCCTTCCTGCGGCGGCGCCCCGCCGGGATCGCTCGGGGGTTGCCCGGGTCGTCCCCCACGGCCGCCGGGGGCCCGAGCATGCCGCGTGAGCCACGGGGCGTCGCAGAGGCGGGTGACGGAGAATCGCGCCGCATCGCCGAGGCACGGGCGATGCGGCTCGACGTGAAGCCCGCTCTTCTCCATGCCGACGCACGGCCGACGCACCGCCGACGTTGCCGATGAATCGCCGATACGTCGGTGGTGCATCGGCGTTGCGGCGCGACCCTCTGGCCCCATCCACTCGGACACCATCTGGGATGCCTTTAGGAGCGGTCGGCCCACGAGCAGACGAGTAGCTGTCTGCCCGCTTCTCGTTTCCTCTCTCCCCCTGCGCCGCCAGCACTGCAGCCGAAGCGCCGTAGACAGACGGCGTTGCGGTTCGGGGCCGCGCGGCACCTAGCCGCAAGCACGGCATATGAGGTACAGGCAAAACGCACTTGTTGGCGTGCTCTGCCGTAGCCGGAGGAGTTGTCGGTGCTTGTGAGATGCACGCCGTGGAATATTGCGTGCGTCAGCGTATGCTAATTGATGAGAGCTTTGCGATCTAGCGTCGAGTAGATTCGATCTAGCGTCGACTAGCTTCGATTCGCAAGATCGACTAGCTTCGATCCGCAAGATCCAACAATATGGTATGTGAGACTCCTATGAGTTGCCGCAGGACTACGCGCTGCTAGCTACGCGATTTCCAGACTCCCTCTGTAGCCTCGGGCCCGCAGAGACTCCTCGAGTCTCGAGGCAACGAAGCCGCGTGGCCTTCTGAAAGAACAGGAACAGTAGGCGCCCTTGGTCAACTCGTCTCCGAAGCCCTTCGTCTACCTGAGTTCGACTTTCTGTGCTCCCCCTTTTCCGGTGCGAGGCAGCCCGAGCCGATCGCCCCGCTTTTTGCTTCGTCCTGATCCTCGTCCTCCTGTGCAATCTGCGTGCTCGACATTTGCATACACTTGCGGCGATGCGATCAGCTGGCCCTCTAGAAGCCCCCGCGCAAATGGGCCTCGCGGGCAGGGCCTGTGCAAGAGGCCTGGGCAGGTGAGGATCGAGTGGGTGCCAACATCCATCCAAGGTTACAGATTTTGCATCCTTCTCGTTTTTGTCCTCCCCTCCGCCACCTTCCACCTTCGTCTATCTCCCAACCATCCTGTGACGTTGGGTCCTCGGCCTGAATCCGCAGCGCCGCGCCCCACATCCTTCCCACCTCGAGGTCTCCTCCTCCCTCCTCCTCCTCCTCCTCCTCCTCTCCTGCCTCGTCGTCCTCCTCCTCCTCTTCCTGTTCCTTGTCCGTAGCCATTTTGGCTCAAGCCATTTTGGCTCAAGTAATCCATTTCTCGAGGTTGGTCCAGGTCGACCCGCGCTCGAGGCCCTGGAGAAGCCCAGGACAGGGGCCTCAGTCCTTTGTGTTTCTCACCGGTTAGCAGTATATCGTAGTCCTGGTTTCAGCCCCCTTCTCTACCGCCACTGCCGTTGTTTCGCGCGATGGAGGTGAAAAGCATGATGCAGGATATTCAACGGATGTTCGAGGCCCTGAACGCCTCTATTCAGACCGCCATGAAGAAAACCGTCCACGAGGAGATCCAGTCGTCGATGTCTGGGATCCAAGGGCAGATCTCGTCCCAAGGCGCCGAACTCCAGTCCATGAGGGAGCTTCTCAACCAGCAGGACGCCCGCATCAAGACCTTGGAGGCGTCGGTCTGAACGGCGGCCAGCTCTTGCAGTGGCAGTGTTCGCTCCCTCGGCTCCTCTTCGTACCGCCAACGACTTGGAGATGGGAAGTCTCGTCGAGTTGATGGTCTAGACGCTGAGCAGGACATGGGAGACCCGACCATCAAGTTCGTGGGCACGTTTCCTCGGCCTTTTCTCGAGAAGACGCGTCACGCCCACTTCGAGCATATGCAGACGGTGTACAGCGAGCTCGACAGCAGCAAGGTCACTCCGGAATTTCATGGCGTCAGCCAAACCTACAAGCTCGTCTTCACGTCCAAGGTGTACGCCCTCGACTTTCAGCAGAAGTGCAACGGCGCTGGGATGCGCTGGGTGGACTTCAGGGACCAGTCCCAGCACGACTTGCGGATCCGTGGCGGTTTACCTCTTCATGTCAGGCAAACGAAGAGGGCACTGTCGGCAGTATACCAGACGGTGTTGGACGAGTTGCAGAAATCCCCGCTGCGGTGTTCCACGCGCCGATTGGGCGTCAATGGTCGCAAGGGAGTACTCCAGATCATCACCGAGAGCGACGTCTTCGAGCTGATCCTCGCCACCCCTGCTGGCTTCGACCAGTTCAAGTTCGAGCCTCTGTGCCCCTCCTTGGAGCACTGGGGCATCACGAAGGAGCGCGCCGACAGCATCGTGAACGTCGAGAGTCTCTGACAGGCTCTCCCAGGGCACTGCAGCGCCGATCTGACGCAGACCTCCCCCGCTCCTCCTCCTTCGGGCCCGTTCAGGCGCGAAGACTCTGCTTGCGCTGGCGTTAATGATAGCAGCTGGGGCTGTTGGGGCTCCGCTCGGCCGTCTTCCTCTCCCCCTGTCTGTGCGTCACCGGCGCAGCCTGTTGTTGCCGGCCGCCCGCCTGCGCCTCAGGCGATAATTCAATCAGTTCCGAGTCGATTTGCGAGCAGTCTAGTAAGTACTTCTGTAGTGCGGCAGAGGCTTTGGATTTTCCTGAGTCTCACCCTCCCTCCTCTCCTTTTCTTCCTGAGCGAGCGTTCGTGATCGTTGCTTGGAACTCACGGGCCTTGGCGGGCTCAATGCATGCAGATCAACATCGGGCCCAACATAATTTCCACAAGTTACACAGTCTCGCATTGAAACACGATATCGTCTGCCTTCAAGAATCTCACGGGGTCCCAGGGGGCCTCGTAAATCTTCGGCGCGAGTTCAAACGCCACCTCATCTTCGGGTCTTTCTGTCAGAGTGCTATTGCTGGCGGGCTGCTCTTGCGTTAACTACGAGTTCTTGCGCGAGTTTGACTCGCGCTCTCTAGAACCCGTTGCCCCAGGGCGCGCGGCGGCGCCTGCGCTTCGAGGGCCCGACGGGGCAGTGCAAATCTCGAACGTTCACGTCGACACAGAGGTTCCCGAGCCCAGGGTTCGTTCCCATCGGCTCCGTCGCTCTGTCTTGGGCACCCACGTCGCCTTTATCTTTATCCTCGGGGACTGCAACTGTCGCGAAGAGGGGGGATGTCGATTCAGTGCCACCGCGGGGACTGAGAGGTTTCAACCTGCTAGGCGCGCTGCTGCCTTCCGTCAGGTTTTCAATGAGCTTGCGGAGCTCGAGCAAGAGAGGTGCACCCACAAGCGTATCACCCATTCCCCCTACTCCGTCTCCTTCGCCAGGCTCGACCGCATTTGCACTAACATCCCCTCCGCCGATATCCTCGACCACTGCCCTTCCTCCTCTACCGTTTGGGATATTTGTGACCACTCCTTTCCTTCTGGCCATGTTCCAGTCTACCTCGCGACGCGGCCGTGGCGGTCCGAAGGACGTATCTCCCTGCCGAGCTGGATCTTCAAGCGGGCGGCCTATGCTGGGCACTTTGAGTCTTTCTTGCGCGGTCAGGGGCTCAGCGACGACCCCCCCCCCGCCCGGTTGAGCGAAGTCAAAGAAGTCATCGTTCCTGCAGCTCAGAAAACCAAAGCCGAGACGTTCTCTTCGCGGGCGGTCTCCAGACAAGAGAAGATCTCATGTTTCCTCAGGCTTGTGCGAGGGCATCGTGCTTCCCTCGGTCATATTGCGGCCTCTGCAGCGCGTGCTTATCTTGTTCTCGCCGCCTTTTAAGATGTCGAGCAGATGAGCTGGTCTGGCTGGAGGCAGTGCCACTCTCATCTAAGTAGCCTGATATCTCGGGAACATAATGAGCAAGGGCGTCCATGGAGGAAGGAGGGCACGCTAGGTAATAAGAGCGTAGACTACCACATTATGCGCGCACAACGTCTAGCCGGGGCCTGGAAGGGGGTCCAGCGTACGATCGCACTACATGGCATTATAGATCAGCACGGACATGCCCACGACGATCCAGACATATGTGCACGCATCCTTGTTCAGCATTGGCGACGAGTCTTTGACGC